TATATATTTAATATTTATAATATTTATTTTCTTCATTTCTTATTCTGAATATAAGAATAACATTCTTTTGTGATTTTCAGCTTATTAGTATTTTTTCAAACTGTATTCATGGTAATGATAGCAGACCAATCAATGAAATTATTGCTGAAATTTCATCTCTACTAATAGAATTTGAAGAAGAATTAAAAACTCGTGGAACAGTTTATTTTGGAGGTTTTATATTAATTTTTAATTACAAATAATGCAAAATTAAAAAAATATTTGAGTTTGTTTTTAATATATTATTAGGAACACAACCTGGTATGTTAGATATATTGATGTGGCCATGGGTTGAACGACGGAAGTCTTTATCTTTAATTTATGAAGAACCCACTCATTTTAATGATGGAAGTTTTTCTCATTTAGTAAGTTTATATTTATAAAAAATAATTTGATTAAAATACAAATTGAATTTATTTATTTTTAATTATGAATGTATTTTAGATGAAATGGATGCAAGAAATGAAAGCACAACCATTTATACAAGAAAATGAATGTTCACATGAAAAGTTTGCTCAGTTAGTCAAAGATTTGAAAACAGGAAATGTTGATTTTGATAAACTTTAAATCTTTCATTATATGTGCATATATTGATACATAATAATTTAAGTCTTGGATATAATTACAAGTTTGAAACATTAAAATAATCATTTAATGAAATTTACTATAATTAATCTTAAAATATATCTGATAGTATTAATTTGTAAATAGAAATTATTATTTTATAAATAATCATAAAACTTTGAGCTTCATAACTCATGCCTTCTATTACACACTATACACTAATAAATTTATTTAAAATATCATTGCCTTGTCAGATATGCTGTGAAAAATATATTCTTTAGACAAAGCAACTTAAATTTCTTTCATACTTCATTAAAATATTTTATTTTGGGCTTATATGCCCAATTTTATTATTTTATCTTATGAAATGAAGATCAAGTTTTTCTTTAAATAATATATAACATATTTAGTCTTGATATGTAAAAAATACATTTTCGAATATAAAATTTAAATAATGATTTTTATAATTAATATTTCACATACTTAAAACACATTATTTATGTAGATAGCTCTATATTATTAATATTAGGAAGATTGAATTTCATCTATATTTATATGAGCAATAAATCGTAATCTCATTTGTAATGCTGGTCTTAATCTTCGTATAACACATTCCACTTCATTTTTTGTCATATCACCAACAAACATGTATTTTATATGATATCTGTATAGCAAAAATTAAGAAAAATATAAATATATTATATTACTGAACAATTATTTGAAAACTTGAAAAAAATTGATAAAAGGATACAATAAATCACAAACTGGATCCATATACTGTAAGTGATTTTGAAGTCGATCAACTTGTTCAAGCATTTCATATAAGCAAACTGTTAATTCTACAACACAGTGCGGCCTTTCGGCATTAAATCTTGCTAAAGTAGGTCCAATTAAATGGCAAGCATATATTAATTGTTCTTCACTATTTACAACTGGTTGAAGTTTTTCTTTGATAAATCTAAATAAAATAATACATTATATTGTTATTAATTATATATATAGTATTTTATAAT